ATCTGGTTAAACACAGAGCTTTTTTTTGCACAAAATCTGCAGTAGCAACACATGGTTTACTGCAAACCTCACCACATGTTTAATTAGAGGTTGACACATGGGGGTATATTTAGTAAGTTGTGTTTTTTTTGGCTCATTTTTAGCACTAAATGGTGAAATTATATGTATTCTTATTTACTTTCAATGGGGTTTTGCAGTGGAGAAAAAGAAAAGCAGCACAGCTGGAAGTTGTGTGTTTGGTCTCATGAAATATGTATTTTAAAGCATTCCCATTCAGGGCCACAAAATAAGGGAGGAGAAAATGGAAATGTATACAAATACCCTCAGCACCTGATTCAGCTCGCAGACTGGTCACTGCTGCTGAAGGAATTGTGGCTGAAATATAAGATCAGGTGAAAGCAGGTTTAAAATGTGTGGCACTCCTGTCAGCACAGCAGCTGTTATTCATCTTCGGTGTTATGAAGGAATGGTGTTTGTAAATCACAGCTCTCTTTTTTGGATGCCAGAGGAGAATGTGAGGGACTTTAGTAGGCTGTCAGCGCCACCATTCTTCAATTACTGAACAAAATGAAAGAGAGCTGGCTGCAGAAGACTACGTGATTGCAGTTCACAATTATGATTGTTGGTTTCTTCAACCAATATTGTGAGCTCCTGACAGTAATTCACAACAGGTTTAATTAAAATCCCTCATGGTGTGTGCTGTTTAATGACTCCACTAACTGATGGTTTGAATAGGGCACAGTTTGATTTCTTTTGGGCACATGGTATACAAGTCCCTGTGCGAAATTACCAATACTCTTCAAAATTGATGAGGTGATGAGGAGAAAACTGGATCAAGGAGAACTTAATTGTTTTTGTCTCAGATAACAAAACTGCATTTGTATCTTGGGTGCAAATTATCAGAGTATAAAAATAATGTAACAGTAAAATAAAACTGTGGCAATATAAGTAGATATAAAAGTCTGGAGTCATGTAAACTTATTGCACTTGGTCTCTGCATATACGGCATGTCTTCATGTTCTATGCAGACTCTGAAAGTAATGTAAAATATGAACTATCTCTGTAGATACTCCCAGATCAATAAAAATTTTGGTTTTATATAAGGAAATTAAAGATCTTGTTTTGTATTTTTTTAATCACTATTGTATTGTATTGTGTATGGTTTTTAATACCATGTGTTTGATTTCTAGGAGCCCATATACAATTTCAAAACTTCTCTTCTGAAGACAACCATGACTTCCTAGAGGTCAGGGCTGGACCACAGCACAGCTCTGCTCTTATTGGACAGTTTACTGGCTCACAAATCCCACCCCCTCTACTGAGCACTACACACCTAACCATCATCCACTTCTATAGTGACCACTCAGAGAACAGGCCTGGGTTTAGACTCTCTTATCAGGGTGAGTAAAATTTTAACAAATTAAGATTTATGACACAAAAGGTCACAAACCCTGAGGTATTACTGTAAGGTAATCACACTTGAAGCAGCCCCTCGAAGGATGCTGACAGAATACATGTGTTCAGATTGAGCCTACTGTTTGGTTTCTCCAGATTTGGAGTAGGTAGCACAAGATAGCTGATTGAATGCTTTAGAAAAAAAGTGGTAAATCTGCAGTTCATAATTTAAGATGGCGCTAGCATGAAGCTCCAAAACGATCAACTCTCATCTGCCCAGCACTCCCTCTTGCTGCTCCACTATGATCTAATATGTCATGCTCTACCCAGCTCTTCAGATATTTGTCATGTAAAATTCCAGGAAATGAGAATGCAACACAACTTACTGATCAAGCAGAAATTATTGAAAGTTTATGATTGGTTAGAGAGGGCGATATCTCTGCATTGCTGCCAGTGCTGTTCAATAAGTCTGGGTCACAGGAGGCTTCAACAGCACCTCTCCACATCAAGACAAGATTTAAAGCATATTTCTACAACAAACATGTTTGACAAAAAAGTGTCATGTTCTGAATAAAACAACATACAAACCAAGCAGCCAAATAACATAGTTTACCCAAGTCCAACAAATTAAGGATAGGATGCAAAAACATATTAGTATGATGTTTTGAGCTTTGATCCTTGGATGAATCATGCTAAAGGCATAAAAACATATGGCTTTCCTCTCATCATTAAAGCAGATTAATTTTTAATAAGGTGAGACTGGCATCTTGTCCTTGTTACAGTACATGGCGTTCTAATGCTTCACCTAAAAGACACAAGAGATGCACTGTAGGCCAATACACTAGCATAACTTGGACAAGGATTACTAATATACACATAAACTAACCCACATTCTCATGCCTGTACTCATTTTTCTCTTTGTTTCCCAATTTGCAAAGGCAGTGTCCCCAAACACTGTCATCCTTGTCACTGATAACTCCCACTGTTGGCACTGCTGTGGACAGTGTGCATGTTTCCTCACATGGAGCTGCACCTGATGCTTTTTTCAGCTGTCAGCAAAGATCGTTGGTGTGAGGATGCAATACACACAAAGGTTCATGTTGCTACCCTTGATTGTGTTGATTGAACACAGCTGGCTGTGCTTCAGCCTGGATGCATAATTTCATCCACGCACCACTCAAAGACACAAGCTTAGGTTCTGCACTTAAGGTCTTGGAGATTTAGGGTTTCAATAGGCTGAATATTTGTGGGCACATCAATTAAACCACAGTGGGATAAGTTCTGGATGCCAAAAAAAAAATTACCCACACACTGACATTTTGACCCAAACATTGCTAAAACAAGCTCTTAGCTCTGAGCTCTGATTCTAGTTTGTGTTTTGCACTCTGACACTGCCGTGTCTGTAACTGCACTTCTACAGAGATTTTAAACGATGTTTTGTTGGAGCCACCTCCTTGAATGTAGTTTCACAGCTCCCGGTACTCCCACTACTACTTGGACAACTTTCCACATTGTCTCTAGTTCTTCTTTCAGCCCCTGGTGTTTCTGTATCCTCTCCTCTCTCCTTAACATGTGCCCTCTACTTCATCACTTGCTTTTTTTGCTCCTTATTCATATCTACAATGTCCAATCAGTTTTGTCAATATGTGTTTATCTATCAGGATCTAAAAGACCCATGGGATCTTTAAGTTATTTAGCATCCTGTCCTGACGTCTAGACTTGGGACAGTCTGTCCCATACTTGGCAGCAACACAAGTGTTCCTGAGCACATACTGCTTCTTGCTTGTGTTGTATGCAGTTCCCTCCCACAGATGCTGGTACTGTACTACACAACGTGGACTATCTCTGAGGGCCTCTTTGCACAGTCTGCACCTCGGGTGCTGTCTAGTGCTGCAGAGCCTGTTTGTATTTACCTGCCACTGAGTGTCTGTTTTTGTCATGTGAGGTGCTGTCTTTCTCTCTAGCCTTGTCTAGCAACTGCTCTTCTGTCAGCCATCTTTGCAAAACTGCACATTTAATGATGGGGCTGGGCTTGCCATGACACCCATGCAGAGTGAGACATTCCCTGAATAGATCTGTGACACTGATATTTCCTCAAGTAAGGGCTGGCATGCTATGCATTCATGTGCCAGACAACTGTGTGGGAGGAGATTAGATCTCTTGTTGTTGCACTGACTACTGGGAGCCTCTGTGGTTCATAGGTTTCTAATAAGTCCATTAGCTCTAGATGGAACAATGGTTTCAATACAGTAAATCACAATTGTCATTTTGTAGTCACATTTTGGGAGGCAGGCATAAAAAGCTAACAAACACACAACTACATTTTATTTATTATTTTGACTATAACTGCATGTCTGCTTTTCTGGTTTGTCAAAGAGCAGCTTATTTTATTTTACTGACATCATTTTCTCCATCTGTCTCTTTAGCCTATCAGCTTCAGAACTGCCAGGACCCTTTTCCTTTCCCTAATGGTGAGATCATCACCAGTGACTACAGCGCTGGCCAGTCAATAACGTTTCAGTGCTACCCTGGCTATGTGTTGATCGGACACCCAGTACTCACATGCCTGCATGGAGCCAATAGGAAGTGGAACCACCCATTTCCACACTGTGAGGGTAAGAACAACTGGTGACTTTTGATTATGATGGTGTTTCATTGGATTAAAAGAACGTAACATGATCAAATCTAAGATGTCATAAAAAAGTACAATGCACATTTTATGTCGTGTTTTTACAAGCAGCTATACCCAACAACATCCCTCATATAATTTACAATCTCGAGACTTTAACAGTATCACGAGCCAGCAGTTAAGCAGAACGTAAATATTACAGTACCAAACCATTCCTCTCGCCACCACTACTACTGCTGCTGAGGCTTCTACTTCTACTGCTACTAGTAATGGCAGTAATAAGGATATTCTTCACTGTCTGCAGTTCACCAATTCTTGCGGTACTGATCCTTCCATTTCTAGCATGTTAGAAAAAAGCAATACATTTCCAAATAGGTAATTTTATGAATCTGCTTTTTGCAGCTCCTTGTGGTTATAATGTCACGGCTGAAAATGGTACCATCTATTCACCTCAATATCCCAATGAATACCCCAACTCCCAAGACTGCAGCTGGCTCATCACTGTTCCCCACGGACATGGAGTTTATATCAACTTCACCTTACTGCAGACAGAGCCTGTCACTGATTACATCGCTGTCTGGTAAGCTTGGGTATGCTCACATTTGGATGTACATACACACACACACACACACACACACACACACACACACACACACACACACACACACACACATATATATACACTCACACATATACAGTACACATGTACACACAAATGCATATGCTTCTTTTCAATGATGTCCTTTATTCTGGGGTTGATTACATCATTTCAGAATCAGAATCAGCTTTACTGGTCAGGTGTGCTAAATGCATGAGGAATTTTACTCTGGTACATTAGCTCTCAATGTGTATGTACAAATGCTGTTCCATAAGGCAACAAGTGAACAAGTAAACAAGATAAAACAGAGAGAACAAGAAAAGAAAATCAATGTGCAAATAAGAAGAAGGAATGTGCGTTAGGAAAATGCAAAATAACAATAAAGTATTTATAAGTATAGAAATATATATATACACACAGTTTGGATACATTTTTCTAGATAGATATATGAAAAAGTACATTTACAAGGTATTGCACTGACGGTTGTCATTCTGTTATACAGTCATGGGTTAAATGTTCATCAGAGTGATGGCCCGGGGGAAGAAACTCTTACTGAAGTCCACTGTCATCTCCACTGTTTTGAGTGTGTTCTGCTCCAGGTTGTTGTGACCGCACCACAGGTCCAGCTGTTCAACTTCCTGTCTGTAAGCCGACTTGTCCGTGTCAAAGATGAGACCAATGTGTCCTCTGCAAACTTTAGGAGTTTAATCGAGGGGGTCCTCTGAGGTGCAGGCATTTGTGTAGAGGGGAAACAGCAGCAGGGAGAGCATGCATCCCCGGGGGGCACCTGTGATGATAGTCACGGTGCTGGATGTGTTTTTCCCAGCATCACCTGCTGCTTCCCGTCTGTCAGAAAGCTGGTGATCCACTGAAAGGTTGGGGTAGGCACAATGAGCTGGGTCAGTTTAGAGTGAAGGATGTCTGGGATGATGGTGTTGAACGCTGACCTGAAGTCCACAAATAGGGCCCGTGCATAGGTTCCTGGGGAGTCAAGGTGTTGCAGGATGTAATGCAGTGCCATGTTGACTGCATCATCCACTGACCTGTTTGCTCAGTAGGGAATCTGGAACATCCAGCATGGGGTCTACAATGTCCTGCAGATGGGCCAACACCATTCTCTCAAAGGAGTTCATAACTGCAGATGTCAGGGCAACAAGTCTGTAGTCATTCAGTCTGCTGATGAAGGGTTTATTGGGAACTGGGATGATGGTGGAGCTTTTGAAGCAGGAGGGAACTTAACGCAGCTCCTGTCACACAGATGTGTGAAGATGGGGACCAGCTGATCAGCACAAGCTTTCAGGCAAGAGGGGGTCACACCATCTGGGCATGGCGCCTTTCTGATCTATTGTTTCCTCTAGCCAGTGATGTTTTTAGGCTTCTCGACACAGATGAGGGGTCACTGACTAAAATCAGTTTTTTTGGAGTAGCTACTCTGACTTCCCTTATCAGTGTGTTCCGGGCCTGCCTGTACAGCATCCTGTCTCCTTTTCTCTTAGGCCTTCTCTTTGGCACGACGAAGCTGCTTGGGTCTTACTGTGGACCAGGGCTTGCTGTTCTATGTGCAGAAGTTTTGTGGTGGGCACACACATGTCCTCACAAAAGCTGATGTATGATGTCAAAGCTGATATGTAATGGCGCGCTTATACCCCATTTTTGCACACTAACAATAAGATGGTAAAGTTGTAAGTTTTACTTTTATTTTTTATTCATCTCTTTCTGTCTGTCTCACACACAGGCTGTGTCAAACAGACTTTTTTGGATGTATTTTATTGGTGATAATCTCTCAGTATATCAGTTGTTTGATTTAAGCACACAGGAGGACGCACACAAATCCATACGAGGTTAATACACTGGCATCACAGACTCCTAATACATACACATACACACACATACGCTGACTATCCTCCAGTAATAATGGGATTCAGTGTGGAGTTAAGATTGTAATACAGGGTGTGTGAGAGTAATACATTTACAATGGGACCACTGACCGATTCAATCTTAGTCAGTACCATGGCCATACACAGACCCAGAGAGGGCTGGAGAACTCTGGCAGTAATGATGAGATTCAGTGAGGAGTGTGAAATGTAATGAAAGGAGTGGTGGAGCTGGGTTCACCATCCCAATGGTGCTCAGCCTCATCTGACAAGTTTGGGTCAGTCCAGAAGGACTTTCTCACTTAGTAGTTTCAGTTTGCATCAGAATCTGCGTTTTGTTGTGAAAAATAATAGTGAACAGAAAGAAAATTGAGATTAGGTCCTCATTTGATGTAGGTTTTAAGGAAGAAATATTTAGTGTTTGGTGAGATCAAGCTTTAATTTTCTGGCTGAAGAGTCCAGCTGTAGGGACTGAGCAGTTGAAATGCAGGCAGTGGGAATGTAATAGATTTGCAGTGGGTGAGTACTTGCTTTCAATCTCTCCAGCTATCAGAGCTGTGGATATACGTAGTTATGGAGAGGTGCACTATCAAGTTATTTTGCAGTTGCAAATTGATTTCAGTGATTCCCATTTTTTCCACATACTGTATTACATAGGGAACAAAGTTAGAAAATCACATTCCTAGATTGTAGGGAACCAAACGACGCCTGTAATGTGAGATCAGGGTATACTGTACCTGATGGATTGTTGAATAGCTCAGTCTCCAGTACAGTAGCTGATGTCTGTTTTCAGAGTTTGAATAATTATTATATATACAGTATTTAGATTTGAGTTATCTGATGTGTATAAAGATCAGTGACTACTATGGAAGTGACTAGTCCCTATCACTTCAAACATTCTCCTATAAAATATTGATGTTTTGCTACAGACGGCTGTACTGTTGACTTACATCATAGTGTTTTCAGCACAGGTGGAACATCTGTAATTTCCTACCATTTCTTGTCAGTCAGATCAAAGGTTGTTGCATCAGCGGCTCTGGCCACCTTTTTATTCAGCTGTGCTTTAACGGATCTTATACTCTGTTTTATATTATTGTGCTGTGAGGACATGCTTTTTTCCCCATTGATTTGCATTCATAGAAAATTAATGTGTGGATGGTTTAAGCAATGTGAAAGGTACATTATATATTTACAATTATTTAATGGTTCTATTTAGAGTATGAACACAGGCTTTCTGAAACTTTTTTGATGATGGAGTTTGTATATGGAATCCTTTAATTATTATTAAGTGTATTGGCAGTGAACAGGATAACTACCATTATCAACTCAAAGGAGCATGGGATTGAGGCCACTGCTTTGTCCTGACATGCACATTTTACTGCTTGGATTTTTTAATTCAGTTGGACAGAGAATGGGAGCAACTGCATTATGCCCTGTGTGAGGTGTCGGGTTAATAAGAAATTGATTGAGAGCATAAAATTAAACTTTTATTGGTCAAGAGTTTGGTCCCTAAATGAATCATACTGGATCTGAAAAGGTCCAAAGCAAGTCTATTAATGATAAAAATGTAATTTTGAGTGTAGTTACTGTATCCACACAGGAGCCAAAACATTATGATCAAGTGAACAACACTGCTTAATCTCATAACAACAATGCATGTGATACATTAGAAGGTAAATGAATAGTCAGTCCCAGTAGTCACTGTGCTAGACATGGAATAAGGCCTAGGTGACGCTGACAAGGGCCAAATCATTATAGTCAGATAATTGGCTCAAATCTTCTTCAACAGAGCAAGGCTCAGGTCAGCAGTGTTGAGCACCACTGTAACAATGGTGATTTGAGGAAGGACAAAGAGGGCGTGGCTCCACCTTGCAACTGGCTCTACTGCTGGTGTCTTGGTGCCACATACCATGGGACACCTTCAGAGGTCTAATATCATCATGCCCAAATTGGCAGGTGGGAGCTGTGTTGGTGGCACACAAAGGACCAACAGTATATTACACAGGGGTGGTCATAATGTTTTGGCTCATAAAAGGCGCTTCGGGTGCAATGAACATAAAATGACATATACAGTAATGTGTTCATGGAGCATTGCTTCAGTTTAAACTGAGCACTGAATTTCTGAAATAGCATCAGTAATAGCAGACTGTTCTAATCACCAGTCACATTCAAACTAGTCAGTGAGGTAGTTTTTATATAAGGAGCCCACACTTTTTACTATTTTGAGCATTTATTTTACAGCTGCACTTTGTGGTTATGCTGATTTCCCTCTTCAGCAGCCTTCTCCTCCTCTGCTTTCTCATTAATCAAATTTGTGAGGGATGTCTTTTGCCTTGTGCTTTGCTATGGACTGCATATTCCTTATCTCAGTGATGTGTGTCTGCTGCATGGTTTCTGCCCTGTATACCCCAGGGTTCTGTGTGGCAGCAGCTGCATCCAGATGTCAGGGACTGAAGCCAAACTGTCTCTGTGGTCTGCCACCAGTTGTGTTTGGCTCATCGCCTAATATCCCTGATCCACTTCTAACAGTGGGCGATGGATCTAATGCCGAAGCAACACAGCACACAATGTTAAAAATATTCTCTGCGCTATTATTACTATAAAAACATTGGTTTACTTTCAGCTAAGTCCAAGCTTTCTTTGTTATATTATTTATGCACTTTTCAGATACAAACTTAAATTATAAATGCAGCCTACTAAATATTGTGTTTTTTATTTCAATATTTATTGATTACTTTGTGGGATGTAGAGAGGGAAGTACAGAACTAAGGCAAGGCACAACATTCACTCACGTAAGGGTATTATAGGCAGATATAATTATATTATAGGCCAAGTTATGGCAGAAAATATGCGTTAAATTGGGTTTTCAGTGTTAACTTTAAATGGCTGTTGTATCCAGAATCCTAATCAGATCCAGATAAAATTTGGTCTGGTGATAGACATTGCTACCCTACACATGTGTTAAGTTTCAAGCAAAAAATTATTTTGGTAACTCTTGTTAGCTATATGAATTTTTTGATTTTTTAATTTTGCCCAATGTTAAAGATGGGATTTTTTGTGTTTTTATGATTGTGACCTTTGACCTTTTCAGCCAAGATCTAATCCCTTCTAGGGTTGGTCCCCACCAATGTCTGTACCAAGTGTGCTGATTATCCATCCAGCCATTTGTCCGAAATCCCTCTAACCAACACAAACACGTGACTAAACTCCTTGGCAGACGTAATTATGGCTCTATGTACAAAATGTATGTAAATGATCTCATATGAGACAGAAAAAACAAGTGTCCAACACTGAGCAATGCGTTTCTTGGATACCGACACAACAAACCATCCACAGCTTTTGTGCCACTTTCAGGAGTGAACGTTCTGAGAAATCATGAACTAAACACATTATTTAATAACTTCATGTGTATATGTTGCTTTTGGGACTGTGTTTTTCAGCCACAAAATCCAAGTTTAAATGGCCCAACTAGGACACTTTGATTCTCTAAATTGGGTTGCAACACCTTTGGAAAACCTTGAATTATTGAGGAGTCAGGAGATCCCAGGCACTCTTTATAAATTAAAAATTTAAAACCCTTGTTTAATCCAATGGCATGCTCATTAAAAACCTAAAACTGGGTATTTAATAACTTTAGAAAATGTAACCTTTCAACAACATTCAATGTTTAATGAGTGAAGTTAAGCCTTTAATCCGTGGGCTTTGTTCCATGAACTTGTTTGAAATTGGTGAGAAAAGCAAAATCTAAAATATTTTTGCTTCAATGAACAAGTATGTGGACTTACATTACCAGATGTGTTTTATTTTAGCAAGATAGGCTACCGTTGGTTTCTCCTCCCCCTTGTAATTAAATCCAGCCACTGAACGCAAATCCACAACCAGCACTTCTTAAGAAGTTCATAATGATTTCAGCCCCTGACCTTCCTTTGGAGCCATAGTAGATATGTACAATGCCATGTGGGAGAACGAAGCATATTAGAGTCACATGAAGGGTGTTGCTTTGAAGAATGCTTAAGATAACCACCCCCTGGAGGGTCTGTTATTACATTGCACAGAAGAATGTTTGAAGACATGTAACAAGCGGTGCGTTTGGTGCTGTGGGGGCTACAGGAAGCTACAATGATGGGGTTTCATTGTCTGGAGTAACAACCATGGATAAAATTAGGGCTGTGTTTTGTTTTAAGTAGATACATTCATGATGTAGCAGTTTTTTTCTACGCAAATTAAACCCTGATGGTTCATCACACTGAGTTCTTCCTTCGGTTCTTTTGACACCTAGCAACTCTCAAATATAGAAGCAGATTTTACATGACAACCAACACACTGTTGAGGTTTGTCACCAGTCAGCAGTTTTATTTACTATGACTTTGATAATCAAATCACACCTTAATATAGCCATTTGAGTTTTTTATTGCTATTATGGATTTCCATTATAAGGAATCTGCAGAGGCAGTTTTGGATATAACTGAGAGAATGAGAGTTGTAATAAAATGTATTTTGAGGTGAGATTAGGGTGAATTTTTGCAGGCCGATCAATGAGAAAAATCTATATAGTTCCATACAAAATAGAAGGCCAAACAAAACTGCTCGAAACAAAAATAATGGAGGTTGAACCCGGGCAGGTACAGTGCAAAATGGTTCCATACTGAGGAAACCTATAGTTGAGTAAGAAGGTGAATCAATATCTATCATCTACATATTCTATCTGTAATTTAATTTCTAGTAGTGTTGCAAGTTTATTAAGCATAATTGTACTTTACAATTTCTGCCAACTATTATGTCACTCTTGGTTTCTCTGACTCCATCATGCATCATGTATCCTGCTTTCAGTTTAAGCATCATCACTTGTCCATGTTCTTTCTTTTTCTGTGTGTGTATTTATTTAGGGATGGCCCAGAAACGTCCAGCCCTCAGCTTGGAGTCTTCAGTGGCAACACAGCATTAGAGTCAGCCTACAGTACCAGCCCCAAGGTCCTGATCCGCTTTCACTCTGACTTTTCAACTGGAGGCTTCTTCATTCTCAATTTTCATGGTACAGATACATACTCACTCACACACACATTTACAGATAGTATTGGTAACCTCATATTTATCTTTCAGCACAGTGTGTGTTGTGCTGTGCGGTACCCACTTCTGTCATCACTTGAATAGAGAAAATAGCCAAGGTCAGAGTCCTTTTTACCATATAAGAAGGAACTACAAGGTGCCAGAGTGTGGCCATCTTTTACAACCATTACTCCACTACTACTGTTTTTAGATCTGAATAGATCCATCTCATGGTTTTTCAGTGAAGTGCTGGATGTCAATAGCAAATATTTTCTGAAAAATAGCTGGTAGTGTGTGCACTCAGATGTAGCTTTTGTTACTGGGGCTCCACGTTGGGTTCAAATCATTAAGCTCCAATGTAAAAAGAAGCAACTCTGCATCTTGTTGTTCAGCCTATACATTTGTTTTAAGGAACTGTTTTTAAGGAAACATACAATACAATTGATCTGCACCTGTGTGTTAAATTAAATATTTATGCTTCTTGACTCATCAGTTTTTAAGGTCAAAATGTGTTTTTGTTTGTGGAACAAGTGAATCATTATTTGAAAGGAGAGAAGATCAGCCAATCTTGAAAACACCTTAATATTGAGATAGAAAATAACCTAAATGTGATATTGTATTTGAATGGAGAGAAGATCATCCAATCTTGAAAACACCTTAATATTCAGATAGAAAATAACCTAAATGTGATATTTAAATTCACAGTAGGTGCAGAGTCACCATCTTGACATGATCATGCACTCTGCATGCAACATTTAAAGGCCCAGTTCAGGTGCAGTGAACAGCGGCCGACATTTATACTGCATGGCAGCAGGCACATTCTAAGAACACAAACTTAACTCATGTCAATGACTTGTCCCCTATAGCACCATGATATAAACATGACTGCCCCTGAAGTTCTCCTCAGATATTTTAAATAATAAATAACACAAACACATCTACTGTCCCATCCTTCACACAGATGCTCTTTCTAAAGAGGGAACGGCACTACTTATTTTTAATGCTGGTTTACATGCATTGATCAGTAGAACGACACTATACAACGGAAGCAAGTTCATCCCCAGCTGGTTTCAGTAAAATGTTGAGCAATTACCAAATCCTGTCCTGTGAGTTGTTGTTTTTTTTTAGGCAAAGTTCAAGAAGAATGAAGCAAAATAAAATGTGAAAATTATATTGTATTGAATGGTCTGTATTTACTGTAAGAACCAACTGCAACAAAATTGCAAAAAAAATGTTGTGAGTAATGGTTTTCTTGTTGGACACCATCTGTAGAGGTGGAATTAATACAGTGTCCTTCATTCTGTCTGACCAGTCACTGAAACACCAGTTTCTACAGATAACCCTTGAGCCGAGTCACTATTTTTCAATGCATGCTTGTGTAAACAATCTCCAGTTCAGGTGCAGTGAACAGCAGCCAACATTTATACTGCATGGCAGCAGGGACATTCTAAGAACACAAACTTAACTCATGTCAATGACTTGTCCCCTATAGCACCATGATATAAACATGACTGCCCCTGAAGTTCTCCTCAGATATTTTAAATAATAAATAACACAAACACATCTACTGTCCCATCCTTCACACAGATGCTCTTTCTAAAGAGGGAACGGCACTACTTATTTTTAATGCTGGTTTACATGCATTGATCAGTAGAACGACACTATACAACGGAAGCAAGTTCATCCCCAGCTGGTTTCAGTAAAATGTTGAGCAATTACCAAATCCTGTCCTGTGAGTTGTTGTTTTTTTTTAGGCAAAGTTCAAGAAGAATGAAGCAAAATAAAATGTGAAAATTATATTGTATTGAATGGTCTGTATTTACTGTAAGAACCAACTGCAACAAAATTGCAAAAAAAATGTTGTGAGTAATGGTTTTCTTGTTGGACACCATCTGTAGAGGTGGAATTAATACAGTGTCCTTCATTCTGTCTGACCAGTCACTGAAACACCAGTTTCTACAGATAACCCTTGAGCCGAGTCACTATTTTTCAATGCATGCTTGTGTAAACAATCATTTCTTTAGGACAGCCATTGCTCCTTTTAATATTGGTATCAAGGCAACTGTATTTCAGCTTATGTTCAGTAGCTACTGATGCTCTTGTGCCCTCTCCCATCTTTATGAAGTCTCACAATCTAGTTTCTTGCTTGTGTTGGCAGTTCCTCAACAGAAAGCTGTGGCATTCCCACATTCTTTTATAATCTTGTTTTTACAGTTATTCTTAACTTGAAATCACTTTTGTTGATCACAGGTAAACTGACCTTTGTTGCATTGAGGTTGTACTTTGGGGTCTGTATTTGTAATGTAATTTTTATTTTTTACAATATATTGGTTTTTAATTATACATATGATTAAATACCCTTCACTTCAACCTAAAAATTATACAGTTTTGAATCAGTTAACATTTTACTGATATTACACAGGGTTGTACTCGGTTTGGTTGTATACTGTAGCTGTTTGTATAAATGTATGCATTTTGTTTGTCTGTTTTAGACTTCATTGCATTTCTTATATTTAGTTGTATTGTTTTGAAATCTTGCAGTAATAACATTTGTGCACCTCCCTCCAGCCTACCGTCTGAAGAAATGCCTTCCTCCCCCTGTTGTGGAGAATGCAGAGATGATCTATGAAAATGAAGACTTCCAGATAGGTAACAGTCCTGATAAATAATCATGATATATGATACAGCAAAATATTTTTGAGAGTGGAGAAACTACAAGTAACCCCCCAAAAAACCCAAAACAAATTAATAAACCATCAACATTATAGAAAAACCTGCAAGACAGTTTTGCAGTAGGACATCTGCTTGAAGAGTCTGACTAATTTAGCAAGACTTTACTCAATAACATTGTTTTGTCTATCATCTGAAATTATCAACCTTATATAGTTTGGTACATTTTAAGGTTAAATCGACCTCTATTGTACCTGACCAGGCTGATTCCTGACTACATGATCAAGCCTGAAGTAGGTCATTATTCTGCTGATTGTAAATTACTCTAATAAAGGGCCAAAATACTGTTCACTTTAAATTTTGTTTTAGTAATAAAGTTTAGCCACTCACTCTTGGTAAAATCTGTCCTGTGTACCAGGGCATCTGTGTCTGGACAAAAAGATGAGAGATAGATCTGTAAAAGAAAATTAAGTTGTAAAAAATGACATTTTTTTTCTGTTTTTTAAATATAATGAATCTTTAATCCCACAGAGGGCCACTATCACTCTTAATTATAAATGATAATATAGCCTGGTAGATTTTTTTTTTAATCTAAGCCTTCCAACATGTCTAAAACTATCTTAATGGTATTTACAGTAACTATGGAATCCTTTAACTAGAAATAAGGCCTCCAATACTTTTAAATATTGCCTAGCTTTTTATTCACGTGTGCAAAACAATATCATTATATATTGAGCTTCTGAAATGCTGTGTTCAGTCACTGTGCCCAACTATTTGTGGTGAATAAATATTGCACCACTGTTGCATAAACTAAATACGAAGCCTTGTTTTCTATTCGTATTGTGTTGAATTGTGTTAATCTAAGCTAAACACATCTTGGACCAGCCTTTTTCTACTTAATGTCCTGTGGTGAACTGTAAGCTTTTGAAAAACATCTATTCTGGGAGAAATAATCACTTGTCAAGTTCTCCATTTTCTCTCAGCACAGTGTTATTGTGATTTGCTCAAAGCACCTTACCCTAAGGTTTTTCTGACCTTTTACATCGACAAGAGCTACCTTTTTTTTTTTTTTTTTTTTTTTTTTTTTCAAAAAAAACGAACATATATAAACCAGCAAAGTCAGTTTACCCTGCCAGTGGTATGCAGAGCCTTGTTGCTTCCAGCAAAGTATATATTCATTTTTCTGAAAAATATTTAGATTTTGAAATGCCAACATTTTTTAATAAATTCAGCAGTTTGTTAATTTTTTAATGATCTGTTGATTTTTTTGGACTTTTACAAAATACCTTGACAGTAGATACACTTAATTCCATCGTCATAACAGACTAAATAGACTCAGACAAAAACAGTGATTGCACTGCTCCAGTCCTGTGATTAACTGTGCATGCCAAATTATTGCCACTTGCACTACACCCCAGCAGCACCAGGCCTGCACCTGTTCACCACATGAGTGAAAATCATTCTTTGTGACAGAGTAAAGACCAAAGGGAGGTGGTCTGAGGTAATCATACATACAAATCGTACAAGCCCTCAGAACATTCAGGTGCATGTACAGTGAATTCTACATTTACAGCCTGGCAAAATGTAGTACTTCAGAGGTAGCACCAGCTTTGTTGTCCGTCAGTCTAATAGCCAATTATACTTTGAACAAGCCCCAGGAAAGGATGAATATTGTTTGTTTTTTTTTGTTTCGTTCAACAGTTTTAAATTTATAGGAGCCCCATGCTGAGAGTGTGCAATCTGCTTCTAGGTAAAGACTGAAGCATGCATTACATCTCACTGACAGGTGGTAGATCTTCACCCCTTTTAAGAAGCCAAGCCTGTCAACTTCACCTCTTAAAATGGAACAACATAGCCTGTTAATCATTGCAGGGCTGTTTGCTTACAACCCTAACACCTCAAAGAGTGCTTTCACTGTTTTTTCAATTCACAATTTTTTTTTCAATGTAAACATTTTAGAATTGTGAACCTGTTTTTAATATGATTTGCCCTGGGACTGAATGAACTGTGCAGAGATTTTTGTTAAATGTATGATGATGATGACTTAACAAAGGATTGATTATTTTCCCTGTGTTAGGTGATATTGTACAGTATCGCTGTTTACCTGGATACACACTGGTTGGCAAGGCAGAGCTTATGTGCAAACTCAACTCCCATTTGCTCTTTGAATCCGCACCTCCAACATGTCAAGGTAAGGCAGCGGACAAACCGAACTCCCAAACCACATACACACATTTTTGCAAATGTGTTAGTTCAGCTGTGGCTGTGGCACTACAAACTGTGGCCATCACATCCTGTTGGCTTTATACATTCTTGAGATGCATCTGGAACTTGATTGTCCAGCAGTGGTATACTGAATTGATTGGACATAATCTAGGAAGGCCCACACCCGTGTATATAAGGTCCCACAATTCATACTGTATATAAGGACAAAAACCAGGCCATGAAGTCCATGTAACTCTTTGTAGACCTCTGTAACAAAACTCTGATGAGGCAAAGCTGTAAAACCATTTCTAAAGCTTTGAGTGTCTCCAGAAGCACAGCGGCCTCAAAAGTTGTGAAATGGAACAATGTGAAATGACCATGACCCATACTAGAGTTGGCCAGCCAGACAAATGGAGTAACTGGGCAACGGGGGCCATGGTCAGAGAGGAGGCTAAGAATAGTCACTCTAGCAGAGCTTCAGAAGTCCTCTGCAAAGATGAGAGAACCTGCGGGAGGGATGACCATCTCAGCAGCTGTCCATCAGTCAGACCTTTATGGTAGAGTGCAGACAGATTCTCTGGTCTGATGAGAGAAAAACTGAACTGTGGGCAAAACTCTGAACACTATGTCTGGTGAACACCAGTCACTGCTCATCACCTGCTAATACCATCCCTAGGCCATAGCGTGGTGGTGGCAGCATCAGACTAGGGGAGCTTTTCAGCAGCAGGGACATGGATACTGGTCAAAACTGAGGGAAGGATGAATGTAGCCAAATACAGAAAACCTGAAGAAAACCTGAGTAGAGAGACCTGAGGCAAAATGAGGTATCTTTTTGTTAGTTAAAAACCCAGGTGTGAACAACCAGGTAAGCATCATTCTCAGTAGCTTGCAGTAGCTTGTCATGTGTCATTTTGGGAAGAGTAGGAAACTACTAACTAAAGTACATTTGTGCAGAGAGTACACTAAGAAAAAAAATCTTAATGCACGTTTGAACATTGAAAAATGTTGTACAAACTCACTTTATGGCAGTGTTAGAAATGCAGAGGCACAAAACCCTTTCACCGTGATGCAGTCTTTCATTGTTGAGAATTCTTACTGTTGAAGTTTAAAAAAGTTAAATACAGTAAAATCCTTTTGTTAGCATATTCAACTTTGTTTTTTTTTTCTCATATCATTGAATAATTGTTGAATGTATTTATTCAGTCAAGGCGCATAGCTTTTGATTTTAACAGAAAAGGCACACAAGGAAGGAAGCATACATTTTTTGTTACAGGTATTGACACATCAACTTTGAGAAGTGCAGGTAGTGACATCTGGTATTTCTGAGATAACTAAATGCAGAGTTGAATTGCTGTTTTGAGATTTTTTTTTTAAAGTTTCTTTTTTTGAAAAAATAAAATTTCAAAAGTGTGAAGAAATGCTTAGCCTTCATCATCATGTGGAATCCAGTGTCCTTTCCATTGTAAAGCAAAGAAAAGAAGCAAGCATTCTTTAAAAAGGACATGCAGTCTAAGTGCTCCTCAGACAAATTTGGGTTCAGCTCCATGTGTGGGAAACCTTTTACCTATACTCTCATCACACAAAAAGATAAGTGAGTGACTTCCAGAGCCTCCCTACATCTAACGAGTAAACAAGTGTTAAAGGTAAAAAACGTGGGTATGTGGGCTTCAGTTGCCACTTGCCACATGTGATTTCAACTCATGACCCCTATAAACCTCTTGTCAGTACAAGCCACTTGTATAAAATCTGAATTTCCATATGTGCAGGAGAAAGGATGCTGATAACAGGATGT